CCCTTCTTTTGGGTACGGGAAGCCGTTTTCTTCTTGCTTGGGGAATCCACATTCTTCTTTTGGCTGCCTTGCTTGGACTGAGGGGTTTTTCCCACCTTCTTCTGGAAACCGGAAGCCCCATTCTTCTTTGGGCCAGGTTCTTTGGATGTTCCAGTGGTAACCGTTTGGTTACGGCCACGACCATGCCCTGGGAGATCCAAGAAAGAAGTGACAGTGACAATGTGAGTGCATGCTTGTAATGGACGTGACATGAGAAATCTCTCCTGCTCTTCGCTTACCTGTACCTGTACCAATTGGCGGCTGGCTGAGAATCAGATCGCTTTCTAGCTTGGCAGTCTTCCTCACTCCCAATTCTCCTCCTTTCAGCTTGAAAATTTGGACTTCCCACTTTCCTGGAACATTGGCCGAACCAATCACCATGCCCCGTTTGCCCACAAAAGACTGACCATCCACAATCTCGACAATGGAGCCCACACCAATGGGCCCTCCATCTGTGGCAGAAGACACATTGGCCTCTTGGCTTGGAGAGCTAGTGGGGGCCTGATCCCCATCACCTGCAGCAGAAACAATCACAGTGGAGCAATAGTAAGCAACCTGGAATGGAATAACATGGTGCGCAAGAAGAAGATCAGCCAACCACTCACTCTTTCCCAGCTTTGTGTGTGATGCTGGTGCAGCAACAACGGCTGCAAGCAAGCAAAGAAGTAGTGAGCAACGGTAGTGACAGAAATTGCAGAGCACAAACGGACACCAGAGAACAACACTGAGCAATGAAACGAATAAGAGCTTACCCTTTTCTTCTTCGGAACTCAGTGCATCCATGGCATCATTTTCTTTGTCCAGAGAGGCGGCCTCTTCCACGCGAGGAATAGGAGCCTTGGCTGGCATCAATGGGGAGGCACTTGTGCCAGCTGAAGACGCCTTGCCAGCTGCTGGGGCGCGGCCAAAAGAGAAGCCACCTGATGCTGCTGCTCCACTGCCACCTCCAAACGTGAATCCTTCAACTCCAATTGTTGAGCCAGCAACACTGCAAGACGCATCGTCTTTCTTGGTAGCAGTGGCGCCAAATTCGAAGCCACCAGAAGAGATTGCAGCTGGTGCTGCACTATCACCTCTGAAAACGAATCCTCCAGCTCCAATGGCCCAGCCAGCAACACTGGAAGACACATCGTCTTTCTTGGTGGCGGCGGGGTTCTCATATCCAGGACGACAAGCCTTACAAGAAAGGCATTGCTTGTCATCTTGAATGTTCTGAACCATGCACACGTTGCATTGCCATGCATTCTTGTCAAGAGGGAAGGTATCACCCCAAGTTCCCTTTCGTGGTTGGTTTTCGGGCTCAGCGTCAGTGTCAAGTGCCGTTTCACCTTCAGGTTCAGCAAACAAGGCAGTAGTGAGTAATGGATTGCATGGGGACACTAGCTAGAACGTTGGACACAACTTACTGCTCTTCTTTGCTCCCTTGGTGCTGCTTTGGTGCTTTCCAGCTAGTGCCGATTCAGCCAAATCCAATTCTGTAACAAAGAAGGCAGAAGAAGTGAGCAATTGGTTGCAGAAGTCACAAGAAGATAGCAAACACAGCAATAACATACCATGCTTGGGCATTCGGACAGCCACAGGCAAGCTTTTCTCACAATCTTGGTCTAAAGAGTACCAAGCCATGTGAATTTCGCCGCTTGCAAGCTTGCCTTCCACCGTCGCTTGGGAGATAGGTAGACCCAGACGGTCGTTGTACTCCACCCAGCATTCGGTGCTTCCAGCCATTACCCTAGCAATGCTTGTGTAGTGCCCTGACTTTTCCCCATCACCCACATGCAGCACAAACGATGTGAGGATATAGCGGGCCTGGATCCAGGCTGGTGCTGGGGGCTTGACCAGAACTGCACCATCCGTGGCAAGGTACAATGTCAATGGCATGCGCACCACAGCAGAAATCTTAGCGGCGACACCATCCACACCAGCGCCAGTCCGCCCCAAAGCAATGGTGAATGAAGAGGGTACCGATGCTTGGGTGTATGCAATGCCCCGCTGCTCTTTGGTAGCTGTCCACTTTCCACAATGCGGACAGGTGGCCTCAGTCAGATTCTTGCCGTTGCACCACCACCCTAGCAACTTTTCCATGGAAACATTGCCATCCTTTGCATCAAGCGGGCAAGGGATTGTTGCTCCAATGAATAGAGGTGTAAGCCTAAGAAAGAAGAGGGAATCCGTGTAAGATTTGATTCACATTTGTGAGTTTGCACAGCAGCAGCAGCAGCAGCAACAACAACAACAACGTACCGAGCCTTGTTACAGCTCAAACAGATCAACTCAGAGCATTCGGGATGGTGCATCCCAGGAATGAGCAAGGCTCCCTCCAGATCAAAAAGCCCATGACGTGCATCCTTCAAATATGAAAGAAACAGGGCATTGGGCACATTTTCCCCATCGTCGTTCTTCTCGTAAAACAACGGGGTTAGCTCTTTCTTGACATTGTTCGCGGTCGTCCGTGTGGCATCCGCGGCACAATGGTAGTTGCCATCGTTGAATGGCTCGTCCTCCATGTCCAAACCGAGCGTGTCGCACAGAGCTTCCACAGGCAAAGGCTCATGAATTGACCAGTCATCGAACTCCATTGCGAGCTGGGCCAATGCCTGGAAAGTGGAGCCCTCCAGTGGTTCAGCCTGTTCATTGTCTTGCAAAAACTTGTGGAGCCCAACCAGCAGACAACGCAACTTGTTGTTGTTCAGCAGACAAGTCATTGGTGCTATCAAAAAGCACATGGCTTTTGGGTTGTGGCAGCCCCGGAACACCATATCACCTGCATTGGCAGAGAGGAAGGCAAAACGAAAATGAGCAAAGGGAAGCGTAGATTGAAAACACAATCCAAGAATTCAAAGCCATGCACTCACCCAACTGATCCTCTTGTTGGATGGTTGCAAACCAGTGGATGAAGGTAGAGCGATCCAGGCCACTTGGCCCTGCAAGTTGGTCGAGCTCCTTGGCACACCATCCATCCAACTCCAACCCTTCCAGCAGGAAGCCATAGCCGTCTTGGCTAAAGAGAGAGCCACGGCGGTCAGCATCAAACTGATCGAACATCTCTCGGGCTAAATAATGACAGCAATGTAGCAAAACAATAAGGCAGGATTGAGCAAAGAAGAAGACATCTGTAACAAGAGAACAACCCAACAGGCAGCTTACCTTGCTCCGCGAACAGCAGATGTTGGCCAGCTGCGCCCCGCAAATCTTGACTCGCCATGACCAACACATCTGCGGACGCAAGTGATGCAGGGCTGGCCAGCGACGAAGGTGTCGAGCTGACAGAACCAGAAATGGTCAAGGCAGGGGCACCATGCTTCTCATCTGCACAGAGTTATAAACAGGAAAAGGAAAGGAACAGAATAAGAAACCCAAATGCATGAAGATTGATAGCAGTTGTCAAGACAGGCGTACCCTCTGCTTCCTTCTTGGGTGTTTTCGTCCAAGGAAAAAGGGACGCCATCCCCGGAATCCCCCATCTTTTCTTGGGTGTTTCGGCTGGGGGCGCTGATGTGTCTTCCGAACCACCGCTTGCCACTGGGGACTCCGTGGTGTCCTCCGATTCAGAACTGCCACTTGTGTTGGCGGGTTCATCTGCAGTGCAAGCATACGTGTGAGTACCAGCAGCCAATCTAGCAAGAAAAGAGCAACACAACAACACCAAACGTACCATTCTCAACAACAACAACAACAGCAGAGACATGACTGCCCTGGGAGGCTGTGGCAAATGAAGCCTCTGAGCCCAATGAGGACCGGGCTGGCACGGGCTCCTCCGGGACGACATCCATGACTGGGGCTGCAATCAAACAAGAAGACAATTGGCGCAAGTGAGCAAAGGCAAGCACAAAGCGTAAGAACTACATGGATTGGCAATAACTTACAGTCTTCCTTTCTGTTGTGTCGAGGGACGAATGGCGTCGACACATTGCCGTCTGCAGAGGCAGCCGTGATATGTTGAGGCGTTCCCTCATCCGACGACTTGGACGTCACAGTTTCAGCGGTTGGCTGTGTGGTGCGTGTTCCAGGCGTGTTTGGTGCCGGTGTAGTAGTTGCCGGATTCGCGTTGATATCAAACCGACGAACATCTCGGGCAGCGGCTTGGTGTTGCCGTTCCACAGCCGCAGGTCGCTCGGGTCGAGCCTCCGTCAGGGTGGACACGAGTCGATCGGTTTTTTCATTCTGTTGTCGCTGTCCAGCTATTAATACATCTAATTTCCCCTCCAAACGACGTGCGGTTTTGGCCGTGGCAGGATCAGCCGCTGGTGCAGGAGCATGGTTGTGGTTGATGATTGTGTTGGTTGTTCCTCCAAAATGGAATGTGTTTGAACCTTGGGCCGCAACAAGCTCCAGAAGAGCCAACTGTCTGTCATTGTCATGATTACGTCCAGCTGTGGCTGCAAGTACAAGTGATCGTTGAGGTCGGGCATTGACAGGCACAGGGTGGAATGCATGTTGGAAGAGGAGTCGCACATTGATGTGGAATAATCCACCCAGGAACTGTTTGAATGCCCGGGTGGTATTGCATATAGTTGTGGCATCTTCTTTCTGCTCCGGAGTCCAAGCATCCGAATTGTCATTGGCTATCCAGTGCAGCATCACCACAATGACCTTGATCATCATTGGCCAGTGCCGGATATCAAGCAGGGGCAAGTATGGGGACGCGGTCGAGCGGACTTCACAGACAATGAGCAGTTGCTGGAAATCAGCCTGGAGTTGTTGCGAGTTCGTGCTGGCACGAACTAGAACATGATCATCATGATCATCTTCATAGATGGCATGGGCAGCTTCATCATCGGGGTCAAACTGAAAGAGCGCCAGATTGCGCATGGTGCCGTGGTCCCGCTTTTGCAGTTTCCGCACGATGGACGCTAAGTCATGACATGTCTTCCGTGGCGTCTTTCCGTTCTCTTTCTCATCAAACATTTGGGCCAGCATGTCTGTGACAATCCCATCATCGTCTGCTCGAAGTTTCTGTCTACCAATCACCATACCGTCTGGCTTTTGCATTTCCACATCAATTGTGGTCAGCATTGCTTGTGAAAGTTGGATCGCTTGCTTTGGCTGCTGCATTACCCAATCAATTGCAGCCTGGATTTTCGCCGACGAAAGCTGGAGCTCTCCTGCTGCTTCCTCCTCCATGGTAGCTGTCGTGCTTCTCAATCCAGTAGGCAAAGAAAGGCTGATGTTTCTTTTACACAAATGATACTTTAGAGTATCGAAGTTTATCTACTAGAAGGCGTCAAACTGTTGTTGCCTCTCTCTCAACTCTTCTGAAAACGGTTGTGGAGCAATGAAACTCTTCTCAAAGCGGTTTGACGCCGCCAACGCGCGCGAAAATCCAGCCTCGTTCTAATTGCTCGTGCAAAAAAAAAACATTCAAAACTCTCAAATGGGCACGACCAAACACCTGGCGGACAGCTGGCGGGNNNNGCACGACCAAACACCTGGTGGACAGCTGCTGGCAGGCGCCAATGGCCATGACGCTGCTCTCGAAAGCTGAATTCTTCTGCTGCTTGCCAGCATCCATCGCTCTCACCTCTAGATTTCGTTTGCCGAACCCCTCGGCAAAAAACTTTGCACGAAAACCCCAACCCTCAGGGAGCTCAATTAACCCTAACCCTTTCCAGCCATCATGCGGCTTACGTCATCGGGTACTTCTAAAAATGTCCCTGCGGGAAAACGCGACCATGAGCAACATGTTGGAGTGGATTGTCGAGAAGTCGACGACAAGACCCGATGATCAAATGAAGCTCTTCTTCCTTCCTGATTTAATAAAACTCTTCAGATGGGAACAAACATCGTTGTTGCTTGGCTTTGTCGCAATCACAACACATGGTGAGCTGCTTGAATGTCAAGAATCCAAACAATGGCAACAGAGGATACCCAAATGGAGATAGGGTGGACAACAATAGTCGTGTTGTTGTTGCTCTTGCAAAAAAGTGTGATGGCTGGTGGAGTGTGGTTTGCTGGGCAAGCAGCGATCTGTTCGCTCCAGCCGGCAGAAAACGTGTCATGTAAGATTCTCAATTCGCAAGTCATGAACAGGACTGCGTGGAATAGCCGTTGAGCTCTACAGTACTCTTCTCTGACTGGTATTAGCATCATCCGTCATGTGTCAGCAAAGGAAGCTCGATCCCCACAACGGCCTCCACATACATGTAGTTCATCGTTCTGGTGTTGAGGAATGAAGAAGGATGGTAGCATAAAAGAGGGGGTAGATTGATAATGAACAGCCGAAACCATGTAGCTTGGTACCGGTAGTAGGCCGACTGGTAGCTGGGTATCGGTAGTAGACTGACTTGGGAAAGGTGTCATCCGATTGAATCAGACACACAGCATCAGATCAGATTCCGACACAAAGCCGACTCGACACTACTTTTTCATGTCTCCTCCTCAACATCATGCCAATCAGATTATCAGCAATGAGACTTTCGTTGTGAGAGACCCATCATTAATGAAGGACCTGGGACTGTCCACAGTGGGTATGTCCACTGCCAACCTAACTCAGGAAAGGCAGTATCAATTCTGAGGGCGAGGGCAACACGGTAGCAGTGGTCTTGGCCTTGGAAAATGATCGTTGGTCTTGTCCACTCTGGTCGGCCACCACAAGGGAGGCAAACTAATAGCGACAGCGGCAGTACCTCGAATACCATTCCCAGCAGAGCCTCGTGATTGATAGGGACCATTGCAACAGCAAAACACACTGCCCAGAGTTGCGGTACCGGTACAGAGCCACGAAATTTCGATACCCCACATTCGGGAGGCAGTGAAATGTTTCAACGCATGATTTGCAATGATCCTTCTCTCCTCTCTGACTGTCACTGGACACCAATCAAACCTTCATACATGAGTACTGAATATTCCGACCCCACGATATGGCTCAATTATGTTCGGTGCATACCGGTGGCCCTGGTGTGTGGTGTTGGGTTTGTTGCCTTGCTTGTGGTTGGTTGGCGCAACTTGTCCATCGGGTTCCATTGGAAGTAGAAGCAAACAAAACATACGACCAACGCTGGAGTTGGGGCCACAATGAAGTGTGTGCTGTTGGATTGGTGACATGGACCCAGAGCAGTCGTTGGGCCCATACCGGTGGCCCTGTTGTGAATGGGAGTCGAGAGAAGACCCACAGTTGCATGAAGTCCTTCAGAACAAGGGCTCATGCACGTGGTCCGACATTCATGTTATGCTTTTAACTGTCCTCAAAGACGGGGGACACCCTCCCAAACAACCATGGGGGTGCACGCAAGGTTGGATAAGGATGGTTGATATGGAAGGATGGTTTGACTGAGCAGTAGTGGTATGGAAACTGGTGGGCTGGGTGGCTTCAGCCACACTAGTTGCACTCATCCGTCTTCAATGGAGAAATCTGCAACCTGGTACTCATTCCGATAATTATTTGTCAACATTACGGTTTCCATCAGATGAACGTCCTGCTCTGACTTGAGGCTGGTTGGATAGAACGAAGTCCTTCTTGAACTGTGGGATATGATCTTGAAATGTTGCTGGCGATTGTCTCGGTAAGACTCAGACAGTGAAGGCGATAACATGTTGCAAAGTGTCATCCAACATGATTCTGTGTGAGAGGAGAAACCACTTTCATTAGCCCCTAAGGGTTTGGTGGTTTTAGTCCATCAACACAAAAATCATCTTGTTGCTGTTCATAGTGATGACCCAGCCAGCTAGCTCAATTAATGCAGTTTGGCTCATTACGCACTAATTACATAGTGGAGTTGTCAACACAGTATGTCCTCGCACCAGGTGGCTGTGAAATATCACTAATGGTCGCAATGGCGTCTATGGTCCACCACGGTCCAACATGATAATTGGGATACTAGAATCGAATCATTCCGTGCGAGAGGAGATCTCAAGGTCACACAGAAGACCACTCTCCGTAGCCCCATTGGCTTGGTGGTTTCAGTCGAGCAACACGGTTGATTGTTGAGCATTTCCACTGACAAATGTCTATCAAGACTGGTGTGTCGCTCCATGCCAGGGTATGGTTTGGCAAGCCCAACTTGTACGAACCCACTGCCCCAGCTCTAACTGAACTCATCAATTGTGAACGGTGGAATCAATCTTTTTGTTGCATTCGACTGTTGGCATTCATAGTGGCAGAGAGATTCGATTCATTCCAAAGGTTCATCGTTGGTTGTTGGTTGCCACGCATTCATTCATAAATTCCCACGTTCTCCTCAAGCTGTCGCCAACACTGCTGGTGCTCCTCCCAAGTTGTCAGCCAAGAGAGTACTCATGGTGATTTCTGTGTTCCTGTTGAGGATAAGGTACAAGTACCAGTAGGGTAGTTCTGCTTGGTTGGGCAATTGGTAGAGTACTAGCTAGTAGAGTCTAGATTAGTTATGCTGCCAGTGGCTGGCTAGCTAGTAGGTTCGTCTATTGGGGTAGCATCCATTCAAGTTCGTCTGAGACAGGTGGTGGCTGGATCTTCGTGGTCGTGCCTGCTCAAATTCAAAAAAGACGAAACTTGAAAGGCGCATGTGCCATAGTTTCGAAGCCTAAGTTTCAAGGTGTTCCGGCGGCCGGCTCCTTTTACCAAAACTGATAGTGCGACGACTATGGTCCATTTGAATAACACTAGCTAGCTAGAGAGGGCAGCTGGGGCTCAAACATCAAATCAGCAAAGTACTTAGAAAGGGACTTAGAGTGATACCGGTAGGATGGTGGAGCTGGGAGTCTGCTGTGGAGCCCTGTCGCCATTGGCTGGAAGCGCTAACTTGAACCGCTCTTGTACAGAAGTCTAGTCATCCTGCCCATACGGTATGGTACCGCGTTGTAGCTCCGTTGTCTGGTGTGAACCAACGAGCTAGCTAGCTAGCTACCGGTAGCTAGTACCGGTACATGGAGTAAGTGTTGCCACCGGTCCATGTTGATAACGCCGTCCTCCTTCTCTCGTCTTTCGGATAGATCTACCCCATGGTCAACAGTCAACACATGCTTCTGGTACGACTCGACTCGACGGCTTGGAGGGAGAGATTGCGAAGGCAGGACTGTTTGAGACGTGCTGCACCGGTCCAGTTACTATGCTAGCTACTCGAGTACCGTACTGGAAGCTTATTTATGGCTATTATTATTATTATTTTCCGCAGGCAGTTGTTGCGTTGTTGCAGATCGATGCTGCCGTTTGGACTGTCACTACGCCCCTTGTTGGAACCAATGGACTGCTTGATTTATGAAGGTTGTTTAGGTTAGGTTGTATCCATTGTCCGGAGCGATTCTCTCCTCGACGGACTGACATTCGAGACACAGCAATTGCAGCAACAGCAAGGGCAATGGCTCTCTCCCGATTTCTGGTATCGGTACAGGCCACGATGATGTGGCAGTGGCAGTTTATTCCACGGACGATGAGAAAGCTGACAACTAATAACTGTCTACTCCATTCAACTCGTCTTTGATTCGATTCATTCAGCCGGCAAATCAAAATCAACAGCAAAGACCAAGACATACCACGGCACTACTACTACATGTACTCCAACGACGCTAGGCCTTGTCGCAGTCAAGACAAACAAGCACCAATTTGAATGCAACGAATCCACGGAGGAGAACGACGGAGACGCAGCAAATACTACAATTTCAGCAATGATCGTAGGAGTCGACATGTGCAATGACGGTGACGCCACTCTCCTCCCGGTCAATTTCCTCGCTCACAGCAAGCCATCTTTGAGTGTCGAGTGCGTCAACAAGCCATGTCCCGACCAAGGAAAGCCGACAATCTTCCTCCACAAGCCACTTCGGATTGTCGCGCCCGTAATGACGCCAAGAATAGCTACAAAATTGCTCACATGCACCACGCAATCACCGCCATCCATGATACTCGTCACACTCCAGAACAACAACTTCGGTCTCGCCCGCGCTACTACTACGACTCCAAAGCACCCTTCTTTGAGCCGAGTACTCCTTTGAACGAACCGCCTTTGGTCGCCATGGAGCCCCTTTTTTATTACTCGTTGACAGCATCAACCAGCGCCTACGACGACGGGAAATTTCTCCACGACGACGACGCAAAATTCGCTTGCAAAAACGATATCAGCCTCGGCAACAATCTACCTTTAGTCGACGATGACCGCGGAAAGCCGACAACCATCGCATGCAAGGAGCTATATTTGGTCGACGACGCCTACGACAGCGCCTCTTTGATCGACGACACCGTGGAGCTCATTTTACGCAGCTACAATAATGACAAATAACTCAATTCTTTCCATCCGTCTGGTACCCACAAACGGGCAAGACATCAGCGAGAGCATCAATAAACGGCTGACTAGGGCGGACTGTAGGTGGGCAGGTCAGCGCTACAGCAATGGGCATGCCAGCACGCCCGAGGTGAAAGAGCGGCAGTTGCTATGATGAATACGATTGTCCTCCAGATGGTGCTGTCTACGAGGTATTGTTAGAACTGGAATTCAACTACTACCTAGCTAGTACGTTTCCCGGTAACAGCTAACTACCAATTTATTTCTGTGTCTTGTTGGACATGCGGCGATTTCGGCACACGTTTGTCGCTGACAATTGGCGACGTTTTGGCTTCACTTGCCGAAGCTCCTCCAGGACGACATCCATGACTGGGGCTGCAATCAAACAAGAAGACAATTGGCGCAAGTGAGCAAAGGCAAGCACAAAGCGTAAGAACTACATGGATTGGCAATAACTTACAGTCTTCCTTTCTGTTGTTTCGTGGGACGAATGGCGTTGACACATTGCAGGAGCGGTGAACATGTTAATTTTGTTAATGGTGTTAGTATTAAGATCACCAACAACAAGCTCAAAGATCCCTTCCCGTTCTCCTGTTGGATGGTGGCTTCCACAGACAATCGCACAGCTGATTCGACCAACGCATCCTGGCCAGCTAGGGGCACGATGCTTCCCATCTTTCTTTGCGCAAATTTGTAAAACAGGAGTGGGAAAAGAACAAATGAGAAACCCAAATGCATGATGATTGGTATCTGTTGTTCCACCAACGAGACAGGCGTACCCTCTGCTTCCTTGTTTTTTCCCTTCCAAGAAAACAATGACAAACGGGACGGAAACCGTTCTTTCTTCCGTGCTACCGCTGGGGGCTCTGAGGCGTCCGAACCGAAACATGTGCCCAGTTCGTCAATCTTGGCAGGTTCGTCTGCAGCAACTATTTTGCCTGTGGGAAGGCAGTGCAAGCAGAGGAGTGAGTACCTGTGGCCAATCAAGAAAAGAGAAACACCGAGAAAAGAAAACATACCATTCTCAACAGAGACATTGTCAGCCTGGCCATCGGAGGAAAAGAATATCATATCATCCACATAGAGCCCAAAGTTGTGGTGGCACCCAGACATTTGAACCTGCAATCCAAAGGCAGTCCAGCGTTTGTCAAGCCCCTCAACCCATTGCTCGGGGGAAACCGGAAGACCGAACATTGGCAAAGTACTGAGACATTGGACTGCAACACCCAACTGCATTGTGCTGCCAAAGGCGCGAGGGCAAAAGACGAAAAGCCAACAAGCCAACAGTCTGAACACAAGATCCGACAAAATGACTATTTATTTCTTACAAATGGTTGTTTTTGAAGGCAAAAACATTTGTTTGTTCTTTTTCACCTTTTCAATATTGACAGTTTCCAGGACCTAACTAGCTACGCCAGACTAGACTAGCGTACCGGTAGGAGGGGGTACCCAGGCGATTTTTTCTGCAATAATATAACTGCAAACAGATGTCATTGCACCAGCCCGCTAACTGGCTCCTCCTGTTGTACCCCATATTGATAATGCTGGTACCGCCGCAGCACTAGTTTCCGTAGGTTGCTACTAGCGCTAGGTTTGTTTATGAGTTTATCAGTGATTCTCTGTTTTGCACAGCAAACTAACATACTAGTAATCTTTTCCCTATTCTAGTTGCCTCCGTCTTGTCTTTCGCTGTACACCCATACATCCTCTGGGGTCCAGGACCATGTGATGTCTGCGGCATCGGGAAGTCGGAAGTCATCCGTGAGCAAGGAAGTGAAGCAATTTACGAGAACCTTGAATGACTGTTTGGGCAAAAGAATACGGCTGGCTTACCTGGTGCTGTGGAGGGTCTCATCGTGGGTGCAGTGGTGTTCAAGAGTAGCATTGACGACGGCTCCGAAGCGTTGAAAGATGATGTCGCTGTTGTCGGGACCGAAGGCGCTGTCTGCGAAGAGACAACGCTGGTGATTCCAACGGCACTGTTCACGGAAGCATTCAGAAAAGAAATCGCCGATGAGAGCCCCCAGAAGTATCGAATTCACCCCCGTCAAGACATGACAAGCAAACTTACAGTGGGAATAGAGTATTTGGTTCTGCATCCCATACAAACCCAGTCATGTAAATATCAGCATTCATTGCTTCGTCAATGGTGTCCAATGTCTCATTGGATGTTGGCACAACGACATTCCCTCTTTGTCGGAACACAACCATAGTTTCAAAGAAGTATTGGAGCTTTCCTAGATCTGAATCCCACACAAACGGCTCAGTCTCCGTTTCCGAAACATCATAATATGATGCAGCGTAGGCAGAAGCAAATCGGCGTTTCAGGTAGATTCCACTCAGTCGAATCAGGTTAGATACGGTCTCCGAGGTGGGTTCACCAGTGTAGTTGCCACCAAACTGGAGTTCTGAAGCAACATCGAAAGTGTAGCTTATCCGCTCAGTGGCCTGCAGAGATCGGATTCCTCCTTTCAACTGCTGCTTGTCATAGTCGGCGTTGTCGTGTTCCTGTTCAACCAAGAGGCGCCGCTGATCGCCTTCCCCCGGTGTCCAGTATCGGTGCGATCGCGCTTCGATGTCGCCGCGTGCAATCGTTGTTGTCAACGGGGATGCTGATGGGGATTTGCCTAAGCGATAACGACCAACATAGACGAAAGGTGAGCAAACGGGATTGCTTGCACTATCTCGTCCACGCAAAAACAGAAAAGCGTTGCTGGGACTTACTTGGCGCTAAAGATGGGGTGGCAGTAGGGGGCCCAGAAGGACTCCTTGACACTGTCGGAGCAGGGGAGACGCTTGGCAACAGAGACGGAGGGTCAGAAGGGGCGACAGAAGGATGCTTTGAAACTGTTGGAGCAGGGGAGACGCTGGGCAACAGAGACGGAGTGGCAGAGGGCGACGCGGATGGGTAGCTTGAGACACTGGGCAGCGAGGACGGAACAGCTGAAGGTTCTTTGGTTGGTGCATTGGTGGGAACCTTCGTGGGAGCACTCGTCGGAGAACTCGATAAGGATGGAGCCTCGCTAGGTGAGTCAGAAGCCACTGATGGTGGCACACTGGGTGTATCAGACGCCATCGAAGGGCCCACGGAAGGCTGACTCGAGGGAGTGATTGACAAAGATGGGCCTGTGGAAGGAAATTGGGTAGTTGTGGGTCTAGTTGAAGGCAACAGAGAAGGAAGTGGGCCTGTTGTAGGTGAACTAGAAGAAACATAGGGTGACAGAGAAGGCACCGCGGATGGAACCGCTGCATCCGAAGGACCGTTAGACGGAGCTCGAGAGGGACGCAACGACGGTGATAAGCTGGGGGGAATTGATGGGAAACGACTTGGCGCGTGTGATGGGCTGTTGCTCGGATGGGATGAGGGCTTCACAGAAGGGATCATTGAAGGACCAAAGGATGGCATATTGGTCGGTGCGGCTGTTGGATTAGGCGTTGGTTGCGCCACGACTGTACTTGTCGCACCAATGGCACTGGTGGGATAGGAGGCAGGCACGACATTCGAAGTGAGCTCAGGACGGACCAAATCTTGCCATATTAGCACCCAAGTCAACGACGCAGACTTACAAATTGAACAAGGTAGCAGGTTCAGCAAGCACTACATATCCGTTGATGTAGTCGTCAGAGTTCATGGCACTAGTCGCGTCTGCCAACGTCTCGCTGGGTGAAGGGTGATCTTCATCCCCAACCTTCCTGAATACTACTTCCGCTGTGAACAAGAATCTTAGCCTTCCCAGATTGGGTTCCCACACAAATGGCTCAACATAGGATGCCGCAACACTAGAGTAAGAAGCTGCATGTTCCGTTGCAAAATACTGCCTCAAATAGACCTCTGTCGACCCCACCAGATCCCTAACGGCCTCAGTTGTCGCGTCCCACGCATAGTCACCACTAAACACAAGCGTGGTAGCAACATCGAACATGTAGCTGTATGTCTCTCCTGTGGTTTCCAACCTTCTAACTCCAACCATTTCGTCTACATTTCTGTAGTCTTGAACAAAGGCTTCCCCCTCTTGGGCCTTTGTGTACTTGTGGTTGGCCTTTTCCTTTCCCAGCAGACGACCACTAGCGCACGGCCAGAGCATCACCACCATGAGCAAGATCCCCAAGCACAGCTTGTATTTCAAACCGACCATTTTCTTGCTGCATGACTTTTTGAAATACCAAAACAAGGAATACAGTGATGTATCTATCTATCAAAAGAGCCACTACCACAGCATACTGTTGGAGGCAGTTCCGGCCTCAGAGAAGATCTTTGGCAACGGTCGCGGGATTATCGTATCGTTGAGCAGCCTTCTGTGGCGATGGCTCACACGATTTTTGTTTGGTCTTCACCGCTACTATTAATAGCTAGTCACCTTTGGTCTGATCTGTTCCGTTGGCGACAAAGGCAACCCAATTTTGGTTGTTGTGGTTGTTCTTTTGGACCCTCTCCGTGTCCCGTGTCTGTTGTCAGGTCATCTTTCGTGCTGAAAGCGGTGGGATGTATGACGGACTGAAAAGCAGTAAAAGACTTAACAGCCGTGACCGCAAGAGACAAGAACCTAGCCATGCAGCCCAATCTGAAAAGCACCCATGTTCACTTACTTGTACTTACTTATTCCGTAGTAAAGGCTGTAGTAGCAGTCCTGTTCGGAAGTCAAAGAGGAAGAGCCAGGTCCAAGATGATACCGATGATCGATACCATCTGCTGCGTGCTTCTGGGGCTCATCATGGCATTCTTTGCCTACGGCCACTTGACACAACCAGGTATGCAGTTCATTGCTTCCCTCCATCAGTGGCAATCAAGTCAGAGGACTCGATTCTCATCCTTACTGTTCCTCTGAATTGATGTTGTGCTCATTATCTTGCTTCAGAAGAGACATTTGAGCAGCTCTTTGGATTTCCCGTAGAGAGTCCGCTGCAGGCCCATTTCGTTGCCGTCTTGGGAGGAAATTTTGCCTGCATTTCCATCACGTTGCTCGGCCTGGGTCTATTCCAACCTTCATCCAATGCACGCAAATTCGTTCTCGCGGGGTATGCTGTCCTGCAATACTATAACATTATGAATCAGTATCGATTTCCAGTTAAAGGAGAGGACGACCCACCCGAGTCCATGGCGGAAATGCCTATACCCTTGCTGATAATACTCATGTCAATTGCACTGTTCGGGGTACTCTTTGGCAGAACAGATGGTCAGCGGGCAGAACTTGTACGCAACAAGAAAAAGGCTCAGCTCTACGCCAAGCATGCACAAAAGGTGTCCAAAAAGGAATGAATGCGGTTGCTAGATCTATATCTTATTATTCCAGTCAGTGGGGTCTCAGTGAAGTTTATGCTTTAGGTTAAGGGTTCTCACAACCTACAATCATTTTTTCTTCTGATGTCGGAGGCGCTACCGGTACCCGGGCTTTTGACGGCTCGGATGCATGAGCGATATATATCTCTATGAAAAGCTACTTGCATGTAATATGAACAATCTATGCAATCTGTCGAGGCAAACGTCGTACTGGGTGGTGTCGCGTTGTTGTCACCACAAGTCCGAAGCTCCCTCCATCATATTTTCTGCCATGAAAGCGTAGAGTTCCTTCCAGGCTTTTTTGGTTGCCGGGGTATAATGGTGCGGCTCCAAAACATGCTCCAATGCGTACACCAATGCCTCGCCCATCAGATCGTAGT